GGAGACGGAGAGAAGGTGGCTGTCTATAAGCCAGGAAGACTTCACTGGACACTAACCCTGATGGCAACTTGATCTTGGACTTCTAGCCTTCAGACTGTGAGAAAATAAACTTCTGCTGTTTAAGCCACCCAGTCTGTGGTATTTTGTTATGGCAGCCGGAGCAGACTAACACAGTGATTACCAGGGGGTGGGGAAAAGGGAAAATGAGGAGTAACTGCTAACAGATGCAGGGTTTCTTTTAGGGGTAATGAAAATATTCTGGAATTACACAGTGGTGATAGTTGCATAACTCTGTGCATACACTAAAAACCAGTGTACAATTTAAAAGGGTGAATTTTATGGTATGTAAAATCTATCTTGATAAAAATATTTATATCAATTATACCTCAATTTAAAAAAACTAAAAAAAAAAAAAAAGAGAGCTGCACATTTATAAAAGCCCATGGTTGGTCATATGACAAACTTGGAACTTGACCTGACTGAGGAACTTAGTGAAATCCCCCCTACATCCCACTTTCCTATTTTGATTTATAAAATCACTTGTTAGGTGTAATGTATGTTTACTTACTCTAAACTCTTTCAATCGAGTGCTTGAGAAAGTAAAAAAAAATCTTTTTACTTTTAGTATAGGAAAGGCAAGTAGTGAAAATGGAAGGTTCAGCCTTCCTATTTGCAGTTATTCCCTAATCTTCCTTGTTTTTACGCTCTTCCCTTCCTAGCCTCATCTCTGTTTTTCTTACTTGCATCTTTTGGTTCTTCACTAATTTTCTTTCCTAACACCCACTCATTTTCCTCTTTGCTTCCTTTGTCGTCTTCTCCTTCTTAAAATGTGAATTAACATTGTTTTATTAACATTATTGAGGTAAAAATGACATACATTAAACTGCATGTATTTTAAATGTACAAATTAGTAAGTTCTGACACACACGTATATATACATCTGTGCAAACAGCACTACAACCGAGACAGTGAATATATCCATTACCTCCAAAAGTTTCTGTGTGCCCTCCACTGTCCCCTTCCAAAAACCACTGATCTGCTGTCACTAAAGATTGCAGATAGTCCTTGCTTGCACAGTGGCATGGTCCTGTAAAAATGACTGTGCAAGCTGAAACTGTGAAAAGCAATCTTTATAATCAATGGGGAAAATTACAATTGTTCAGTGACCTTTAAAATTTTTGTCAAAACATTAAAACTCTCACTGTTGGCTACAAATATATAGGGAAGTAAAAATAGTAAAATCAGTATGTATTTAACACACTATAATTTAAAGCACTGAGAATTTAAACTTATTTTTCTGTAAAATCTTATCAAGAGTACAGTGCGTGACTCCTTCTTTTCATCACATAACTTATGATACAGAGCAAGCATCTTTTCTATGCCTTGGCAAACTGTCATACTCCTTTCTAAATTTGGATTAGTTTTCAACATTTTGTCCCTTGTGCTTTCAACATTGTAAAATATTTCTGAAAGTTCCTTTAATGTGCAGTTTTTTGCTGGCATCATTTTCTCTGGGACATCTTCATTCTTGTCATCACAATCACTTTCTTTCTTTATGTCCATAAGTTCGCTTTCACTAAGTTCCTCTGGCTAAATATCTAGAGCCTCTCAGACAACAACAGTATCCACATTCCCATGGTCAGCTACTTATTCTATAACTACATTTAGTTTGATTCAAATTTCTCTTCCAGTATTATCACTTTTTATTTCTTTAAATGTTTGGTAGAATTCTCCAGTGAAATCATCTGGGCCTGGAGGTACTTTTAGAGAGAGTTTTTAATTACAAATTCAATTTCATTAATAGTTATGGGGCTATTCAAGCCATGTATTTCACACTGGGTGAGTTGTGGTAATTTGTTCAGGTAACTCTCAGGAAGGCAGGAAAAAGAAAACAGAGAAATGAGAGAGAGAACACACACACAAAATAAAATGGCAGACTTAAGTCCTAATATATCAATAATTACATTAAATGTAAATGGTCTAAAGCCATTAATACAGAGTGGATTAAAGAACATGATCCAAATATATGCTGTTTACAAAAACAAACTTAAAATATAGATATATAAATCAAAAGTGAAATAATGGAGAAAGATATACAAGCAAACATTACTCAAAAGAAAGCACGAGTGACTATATTAATATCAGATTAGACTTCATAGCAAAGAAAATTACCAGAGATGGAGAGGAACATTATATAATGACAAAAGGATGGATCCACCAAGAAGACATAGCAATCATAAATGTATGTGAATCAAACAACACTCCTGCAAAATATGTGAAACAAAAACTGATTGAAATGAAAGGAGAAATAGACAACTCCCCAATTACAGTTGGAGACTTCAACCATACAGAAAATCATCAAGGATATAGAAGAACTCAACACCATCAAATTGACATTTATAGAATACTCCACCCAACAGCAGCAGCATATGCATTATTTTCAAGCACCCATGGAACACGAACCATGAAAGACCATATCCTGGGCCATACAATAAACCTCAACAAATTTAAACAAATTGAAATTATACAGTGTGTGTTCTCTAATTACAATGGAATCAAAACTAGAAATCAGTAACAGAACGACAAGAAATTATTCAAATACTTGGAAACTAAAAATCACATTCTTTCTTTTGCTGAGGAAGAGTAGCCCTGAGCTAACATCAGTGCCAATTTTCCTCCACTTTTTTTTTTTTATGTGTGGGTCACCACCACAGCATGGCTGATGAGTGGTGTAGGTCCACACCTAGGATCTGAAGCTATAAACCCGGGCCGCTGAAGCGGAGTGTGCCAAACTTAACCACTACACCATGGGGCCAGCCCAAAATCACACTTCTAAATAAAAGAAGTCTTGAGGGAAAAAAATATATCAAAGTGAATGAAAATGAAAATACAACACATTAAAACACACCTAAAGCAGTGCTGAGAGGTAAATTTATAACACTCAATGCTTACACTGGAAAAGAGGAAAAGTCAATAAGCTAAGCTCCCAACTCAAGAAACTAGAAAAAGAAGAACAAAATAAACCCAAAGAAAGTAGGACTGATATAACAGAGATAAGAGCAGAAATAAATACAAAATAATGAAACAAAAAGATGGTTCTGTGAAATGGTCAGTAAAATTGACCAACCTGTAGTAAGAAAAAATGTAGGGAAAAATTGCCAATATCAGGAATGAAAGAAGGGATATGATTGTTTCACTTGCTCCAAGTGTGTTCATAATTGCTCAATCAAGCACTTTTATGATGGCTGCTTTTAAATTTTTGTTAGATAATTCAAATATCTCTGTTGTCTTGGTGCTACAATCTATTGATTGTCTATGATCAAGTTGAGATCCTCCTGGTTCTTGATGTGAGTGATTTTTTTTTAATGACACCTGGACCATTTTGGATATTATGCTATGAGACTCTGGATCTTCTTTAAACCTTCTGTTTTGGCTGGCTTCCTCTGACACTGCTCTAGCTGGAGATCAGGTTGGGGGAGGGGATATCACTTCATCACTGCCAGGTGTTTGTAGAAGTCCTTGTTTACCATTTGGCCTCTGTCGACATGGGTCGACAAGGGTCCCAAGGGTAGGGACTCTGTTACTGCTGGGTCAGGTTCTGGCTCCCCATTAGGCCTCCACTGATACCTTCCTTGCTGGGATTGGTAAGAGTGCCTTACTACCGCTCCCTATGTGGCTTCCACTCACAACACGGGGAGAGGAGGTGTCCTCATTACTGTTGGGCAGTGGTGAAAGTCCTGACTTTCTACTAAGTCTCCTCTGACATCACCCTAGATGGGGGGAGAAATTACTGCTGCCAGGTTGAGGTGGAAGTCTAGGTTCCCCACTGTTACTATTACAGTAGATAAAAATACTGACAGTAAGGACATGAAAATGCCTGACTTGTGTCCATTCGTGATGCTGTTCTAATTTTTAGGAGGCAAGAGATGGTGTCAATGATGATAAGCTAGTGAGGCTGAGGACGTATGTTGGGCAAGACTGTGGAGCTTTCCTTAACAGAGCACAGACAGTCTCTCTGTGGGTGGGACAGCCTGGGCTTGGGTTTTAGAAGTGATTCAATAAGCATTTCTGGAGCATGACTAGGAGCGAAGAACCTGGTGCTGGGGGCAGAGAATTCAAGGATGTGATCTCTGCCCTTTAAGAACCTATTATGTACTAGAAAGAGAAAGATGTACAATGAGATGTACAATTTCTCACAGTAACCAGCAGGTCCCACCAGCTCTTTTATCTGGTGCTATTCCTTCCTTCCTTTCTTCCTTCATTCACTCAAACTTATGCCAAGCATTTTATTTCATGCCAGCCTTTGTGCAAAGCACTGGGAACACAAAGACCAGTAAGAAAAAATGGCTTCCAAAACCAGTCATTACTCGTGAGGAACTGAACTTACTACTACTTCCGGCAGAAAAGTCCTCTCCCCTTTCCACAAAACAAAAGTCCTCTCCTACTTAAACTTTCTTCTCAAGTCTTTGCAAATGAAGGCCACGTGCTTACAGTCAACCCAATTATTCCAGTTATCCCCTTCACTTTGGGTTTATGCATTTTACAAACTCTGTATGTTTTGGCCCTCTATAGAGGCTATCACTATGAGGTCCCGATTATAATGAAGCAAATTCTCATGGAGTTATGTATTAATAGAGTTATTATGGGGTTATATAATTAATGCTCTATTTCTCTTCAAAGACTAATAGATGCTACTGATTGTTGAGTTAGACCTGGAAATCCTGGTCTCCAAAATCTTATCATAACTTCAGACTGGACTTCAAACAGTTTTATTCTGTGAATGGGCACATATTATATCCCTATATAAATGAGCTTGACTTTAACTACTGATCTATCCTAGCCTGGTATAATCTGCCATTGGTCTGAATGAACCGGTGAACATGATGTGTGACTTTGTATTCTAAACATATAATTAGCTACTCAAAGTCTCTCCCCAAGCAGCACAAAGATAACTATAAGAGCATTCATTCCCTAAGCCAGAGGCACAAGCATGCAAATACCTGAGGGAAGGCTGTGGAAGAGTCTCTGGACTGGCTGGTACCTGGACTCCCTTTTCCCATTCTTCCTTCCATGTATCCGCAAAGAGGTAATAGCTGTCAGGATTAATGTGGTGAGAATCTGGAAGTTTCATGGCACTGATGAGGTCCTTCCGGAATACCTGGGAAGACATTACACACACCTTGAGAAGACCATCACTATGGAACTAACACCATTTAATGTTCTTTTAAAAAGACCATCCCCACCCACTCTATGCTTCAACAAGAGAAACATCTCTAACTTCCTAAACAGCCAGATCAACTTGTTTGGAAAGGGTTTGAAGTGCTGACAAGGAAGCCAGCTTGTTCTGGATTTAATAAAGAGTAAAGAGGATATTCCTGAATTATTTTCTTGGGCTCCTTGAATTTAAATCAATACAGGTTACTCTAAAACAGTTTGTATAAAACAAATAATCTTTAAAACTCTCAAATTAAGAAAAAAGTATCCTCTGATAACTTATATCTGTTTATTTAGTCATTACCTTAGTTTTTATCTACTTAGAAATAACTTTAGGCTTACAGAAAAGTTACAAAAAGAGTACAGAGTTCCCACATACCCTTCACATAGCTTCCTCTAATGTTAACATCTTACATAACCAGAGTACAAATATCTAAACCAGGAAATTAACATTGCTGCAATACTATTAATTAATCTACAGACCTTATTAAAATTTTACTAATTTTCCCCCTAATGTCCTTCTGTTCAATCCAGGATCCCACATTGCAATTAGTTGTCATGTCTCCTTAGTATCCCCCAATTTGTGACAGTTTCTCAGTATTTTCTTGTCTTTCAAGCCTTGACACTTTCGAAGAGTATGGGTCATGTATTTTATAGAATGTCCCTACAATCTGGGTTTGTCTGACGTTTTCTCATGATTAGATTGAGGTTATTCGTTTTTTGGCAAGAATACCACAGAAATGATGCTGTGCCTTTTTCATTCCATTATATCAGGGACACATGATGCCAATATCTTATTAGTGGTGATGTTAAACTTGATCACTTGGTTAAGTAGGTTTTTCTGTTTTTCTCCACTTAGGTTACTATATTTTCCTTTGTAATTAATAAATATCTTAGAGGAGATACTTTGAGGTTATAAAAATATCCTGTTTCTCTTCAAACTGTCATTGACTAATTTTAGCATCCACTGGTGGATATCTTGCCTGCAACAATTATTACTGTGGTGTTCTAATGGTGATTTTCTATTTCCCTCTGTCCTTCAACATTTATTAATTGGAATTCCTCTGAAAGAAAGATCTGTCCCTTCTCCCCCATTTTCTTATTTATTGAATTATTTATTTATATCATTAGAGACTCATGAGTATCTATTCTATTCTTTGGGTTATAATTTAGTATTATTATTTATTTGTTGCTCAGATTTTCCACCTTTGGCCACCGGGAGTTCTTTCAGGTTGGCCAGTGCTCTTTCGACATGTCCCATCTTTTTTAAAGCATTTCCTTAATTTCCTACATTACAACATGCCCCAGGCATGTTTACATCCTCTAACTGGTTATAAAAGCTGTTAATTTTAGATGTTAACTTCATATTCTGCTACCTTACTGAATTCTTTTATTGCTTCAGTTTCATCATTGATTTTCCAAATATACTATCATATCATCTACAGAGTTTTGCATCTTTTCTACCTAGTCTTATGTCTCTAATTGGTTTTTCTTGTTCCATTGCATTGGCTAATACCTCTATTAATATTTGGAATAGTAACAGGGATAGTGGGTATAACTGCCTTCTTCCTGAAATTAGTGGAAATGCCTTTAGTGTTTCCCATTAAATAAGAGACTAGGTCGAGGACTATGGTGTACATATTTCATAATGTTAAGAAAGTATCTTACAGTTCCTATTTTCTTAAATGCTTCATAATGCCTGGGTATTGAATTTTGTTAAAGGCTTCTTTAGCATATATGGAAATAATAATTTTTCCTTAGACATATTAATATGCTGTATGATAATACTGGATTTCTTAATAATGAAACAAACTTGCATTTCTGGAATGAATGTGACTTGGTCATGATATATTACTTCCTTAATATGGTATGATATTATTTTCTAATATTTTAATATTTTTGTATCATACTCATGAGTGTTATTAATCTGCAGTTTTATTTCTTCTGATTGTATTGTCTTTGTCTTTTAGGTTTAGGCAACAGTGTTATGCATGCTTCATAAAAGGAATTAGAACATTTTCCTTCCATTACAATGCTCTAGAATAATCAGAATTATTGAGACTATCTGGTCCTTATGAAACCATCTGGACTTGGTGCTTTTTTTTGTGGGGTAGTTCCTTAATAATTTTCTCTATTTCTTCTTTGGAAATTGATCTCTTTAAGCTTTCTACCTCTAATGGGGTCAATTTTGGTAATTTGTATTTCCACAGAGAATTATCTATCTTATCCAGGTTTTCAAATTTATTTGTACAGAGGCTTGCAAAGTATAGGCAGTTCCACTTTGCACAACAATGTGAGACCATAAAAATGATGGTGCATGTGGAAACTGTGAAAAGCAATCAATAGCTTAAGGAAAAAATTATGATTTTTCTATGATCTTTGAACATTTTGGTCAAAATATTGGAAACTCTCTTACTGTTGGCTATAAATGTATAGAGAAATGAAATAAATAGAACTAGTGTTTATTTAGTATACTGTAATTAAACTTTAGAGACATTGAGAATTAAAGTTTTTTTTTGTAGAAAAACTTATCAAGAGTAGGTGGAACACTGGGGCTGGCCTGGTGGTGCAGCAGTTAAGTTTGCACGTTCCGCTTTGGCAGCCCGGGGTTTGCTGGTTCAGATGCCGGGTGCAGACATGACACCGCTTGGCAAGCCATGCTGTGGCAGGCGTCCCACATAAAGTAGAGGAAGATGGGCACGAATGTTAGCTCAGGGCCGGTCTTCCTCAGCAAAAAGAGGAGGATTGGTGGCAGATGTTAGCTCAGGGCTAATCTTACTCAAAAAAATAAAAATTAAAAAATAAAAATTAAAAAAAAAAGATTAGGTTGAACAATGCTTGCCTCTTTTTTCTCATATAACTTAACAGGCAAACATCTGAGATGGAATGTTTTCATTATCATTACTTTTTTTTTTTCTCTCCAAAGCCCCAGTACATAGTTGTATATCCCAGTTGTAAGTCATTCCAGTTCTTCTATGTGGGATGCCACCACAGCATGGCTTGATGAGTGGTGTATAGGTCCATGCCCAGGATATGAACTGGCGAACCCCAGGCTGCTGAAGTGGAGTGTGTGAACTTAACCACTCAGGCATGGGGCTGGCCCCCATTATCATTATTTTAAAAAAATCTATAATTTCAGTTTGTATTTCCTCTTTTCACTCAAGAGTTGTTTAATAGATGATTTTAAAATTTCCGTAGGGATCTATTTTTGTTAGTAATTTCTGAGTTTATTGCACTGTGATCAGTCTTGTTTATAGTACTTCTACTTAACAGAAATTACTGATGTTTTCTTTGTGACTTAATATTTGATCATATTTTGTGCATGTACCACATGCATTTGAGAAGGTGTGTTCTCTATTATCTCTAATAACAAGGTGTAGAGTTTGATATATATTCATCAGATGTACCTTACGGCTTATGTTGTTTAGATCTTCTAACATCTCACTTATTTTTTTGTTCACTTAATCTGATACTGAGACATGTGCTTCAAAGACTCCTATGATTAGTGTGTTTATGTCTCCTTGCATCTCCTATAGTTTTTGTTCCATAAAGGTGGTTGCTGTGTTATTGAGTGTATGAATATTCGTAAGTACCATATCTTCATGGTGAATTATAGCTTTTAGCATTAAAAAGTCTCCTTCTTTGTTTGGGGGGCTTGATTTCTACTTTACCTGATATCAGGATCACTACTCCTGACACTTTTGTTTCTGTTTTCCTGGTATACTTTTGTCCATCTCTTTATTTTCAGCCTTTCTGAATAGGTGTTTTTGGTATACTCTTGTACACAGCATATAGTTGGGTCTTGTTTTTTGAGCCCCCAATTTTTTTTTAACAGATGTCAAGTCCCTTCATATTTATTGGCACGACTTATATTTGGTCTCAACTGTCATATTTTATAACTACATGAATGATGTTATATTTCCTATGTTTCTTTCTCTATCACATGCATACTTTTCGCTCTTTTAATTATATATATTTTTCATATTTAAGAAGGTTTGTAGTTTTATTTTAGTTGCTATCTTTGTACTTAGATCTTTTAAAAACGTCCTTAGTCTCATTTTCTTTTTTAACCTTTTACTATCTGATTTACCAGTTTTTAATTTCTCTCAGTGAACTCCTCAGGGGTGAGAAGGATAAGAATGACATGTTTACTGTGGTAGCCAAGAGGCTTCGCTGTGCAAGCCTTAACCCTACCCCCGGCAAGGAAGCCCTAACTGCGTGGAAAGCTCAAAGGCCAGAGGTAGGGGATAATGATATGGGTACAGCTACAACTTGGACTTGTGGAAACAAAGAGATTCCCCATAATCCATTTTCTACACCCTAAGCACAATTAGGTACTGACAATACGGGGACAGGGATCCATCTAAAATTTGATGTACTGTTATCCTCTGGTTGAAAGGGTGCCTGGGGGACTAAGGGGCACAGAACTGTGCTCACCAGCCTGGAAACATGACTTACATTGCTGTGGCAGCCTAAGCTTTGTGATTCTGCCTTTTCAACAACAGAAAAAAAGTATGCCCTGAGTTCTTAAGCTAACCTGGCAATGATTTCAGAGATGAAGGCCCAGTTAACTAATGTCTAAGCAACGAGGGAATACATTTTCACATAAAAGCATACGTATATTGGTCTATACCTCACCTACTAATTTCTAATTCCGAAAAAAAAAAAAATCAACCACTTGTAGACTGAAGATAAATGTGTCCACATTTCTGGAAAATCAAAGAAAGAGATGCTATTTAAGCAAACGTTTTAGCCTTTAATGCTAATAAAGGTTCCCTGAAGACAAACACTACCCAAGTTATGTGTAACATGAAAGGAGGCAGCATAGAGCATGATCCAATAAAGCAAGGAATTCTCAGCTGGTGAAGTTCTGTTTAAACTGACATTTCACAGAGAATAGAACTGAACTATCACACAATCAAATGATGCCATTTAAATGAATAA